ATATATTAATATGACTTGTACGGAGTAGTGTTGGCTGTTGGGTCATCTTCAACGGTTTTTTTATGCTTTATCTTTTACTTAGTACTTTATAATACACTTTTGTACTTTTTACGCCCTCTTATTTTTACTGAGCCATTCACACGCTAGAACAAAGCCTCTCGGTTTTTATATATTGTATTATGTCTTATGTCTTCTGTATTGAGTTGTAGCTTGTACCGACTCATCATGACCGTTTGATCGCCACCTCAACATTTTTATTTACGTCTCATCTGTTCATTCATGTCTCTAATTTATAAAATAAATATTTTAATTGTCTAGCTTGATATTATTGTTCTTAATATTTCAATCATAATTATTAATTTATTTTTCTTTAGACTTTTTTTTTTTAATTTTATATTTAAGTTAAAAAATTTTTCGACTTAAATTTTTTAGTATTTATAATTTTCAATGCTAATTTTTATATTCTCTAAAAAATAAAAATAATTTTTTTTGACACTTTTATTGATTTATTTATATTTTTTTTTAAATTATTTTTGTAATTAAATATTTTTGAAAATACACTTTTTTACATCTCTATGATTGTTAATATTTTTTTTTTTTTTATAGTTTATTGCTATTAATAATTCAAAAAAATTAAACTCGGAAGCGGAAGTTTTTTCTCTAACGAACAAACAAATTCCGTTTTAAACTGTAAACTAATTTAATGTAAATACCCCTTATTTCACACCGTTTACGCTAAATTTAAAAAAATTAAGTCAAAAAGGAGACCGTACAGTCTAACTGCAATATATAAAATAGAATATTATCTCTTGCATCCGGAAAGACGGTTCTGGCACTTAATATTCCTACGGTTTGCACAAATAGTGTGTATCTTTAGATGACATCGACATCGGACTAGTGACTAGTTACCAACGCAGGGTGGTTTAAGCTACACTAGAATCGGTTGCCCAACGAGCGTACATATAATCACGAAATGCGGTTACATTATCATGGCAATTGCGTAAATATTTGAGCCAATTTGCGGCATGCAACTCTGATGCGAGCCGAGTTGAGGTAAAGGATGTTCGAGAAGTTAACTGAGCAGGAGCGAGCTTTCCGAGGATTCGAGTGCGACGGTCTATCATCCACTGAGCATTACTGCCGTCAACTTGTTGGTTTATTTACCGGAGTCATTAACACCCTCATAATTCGCATCAATCTTTTAATCTTAATTCGTTCAAATTAAATATTCAGTTTTGATAATAAAAAAAGTTATAAAAATTTAATATTAAAATTATAAATTTATCCTCTTAAATTAAGAAAACATTTAAAAATTTTTATAATAATTTTTTTTTTACAAAATTTGAGAATTAGTTCAATTTTTTAGTAATTAAAAAAATTTTTTTTCTTTAATGATAGTATTGTAAAAAATTTTTTATAAATTTATAAAAACAAAAATTAATTGAATATTATTATAGATAATTTTATAACCGAACAAAAGTGTGTAACTCAGTAGCACAAATTTAGAGAAAACCATAAAGTTTCTTTTATCCTCTTACAATAGACAGACTGGGAATGGAAAATAGAACCCGCATGCTTTAAATGACCGTCAGAAATATAAATACTCTTAAATCCTAATAGCCTATTAGGATTCAGGTGGCTCTATACTGAGCAAAATAAATATTCTTAGTTGCTTTTAAATTTTTCAGAAAATGTCATTATTGATAACTTACATTAATTGATTTTTATAATCGCAAATGTGGATCTTTGGATCCGTAGGTACTCGAGCTCAAGAAAGCGCCCTTATGTCCGGCGACTAGAGTATAATCTCATCTCTAATCCTTTTGGATCTTTAAAACCACTTCAAATTCTAAAGAAATTTTCAACTTCAAAATTTGCTCTAATATTTATCTTGTTAAAAAAAAATTAAAAAATTTTTTATATAATTTTGTTACTTTAATAAATTTTTTTTATTTTAATAAAATAGCGGAAAAAAATAAAACAAGAGAATTTCCGATAAATGAGTTGATTAGAGCCGAGAATTTGGGTCAGTAGTGTTGCGGAAAAGATGCAGCGAAAAAGGAAGAGAAGAGAAGAAAAAGGGTAAATCGTGGCTGTTGTCACTTAACCACAAGGATGAATTGAAATTACCGGTCGGCGGCAGCGAGACGACGGGTAAACACAAAGTATCGCTTCGAGAGCTGGAATTATTGTAATTACAACAATTTATTGTTACGGAGAAAATAACGACCGGGGAAAAATCTGATACCAGCGCATGCTTGCTCTTGCCGCTCTTTTTTAAACGCCTCGCTCGAGACATCTATCCAGTGACCGGCCAAGCTGGTCAGACTAATTTTATAGCGGGTGTAGATAATATAAGTATTATATTTTTATTGATAAGTTAAAGTTTATAAACGCCGACTTTTTTGGCCGAAGATATATTTATTTATTAAAAATTTGTTAATTATTAATTTTTAATCAAATTTTTTAAATTATTAATCTTCATTTTATTTTTTATCATATTTTTAAATCAAATTAAAATTTTTATTGTCAAGAAATATATTAATAATTACTAAAAATTTTTATTAAAAGAAATTGATAAATTATAAAGAAATAAATTATAAATTTTATCAAGAAAACAATTAACAAATAAATAATTAATAAAAATTAAATAAAGAAAAAAAATACAAAATTTATTACAAAAAAAATTAATAAAAAGTTTATAAATAAAAAAAAAATTCTATAAATTGGTGACCAACCTAACATTAATATAAATACATAAAAATAATTCGTGACAACCTGAGGGAGAGACATAACAAAGTAAAACTTCCTAGTAAAGACCTAAAAAGTCAAATAAAATTGATAACTTGTATTCGTGCGAACCTTCTGAGTTTCACACCTACAGAAAGACCAGAAACTAGAATTGTTAAGACGTTGAATTTTCAATTTCAGTGCCTAGCTCTCTAGATAACTACAGAGTAACGGAAGCCGCGGCACGTCAATTGATCGGTACATATAATGTACCCAGGCAACACTGCCAAATCGCGAATTATATTATCCTCGTAGTTTGGATTTAAAACGTGTACACGTGTGTGCCAGCTAAAACCGTTTGCAATAGTATCCTAGTACACTAACTTATCATCATCTCGGAAAGCATTCGACGATAATCGACAGATCCATTGGATACACGCCTATCTCCCCAACATCCTCCATCCAACAGCTCGATCTCGTTACCAGCTATCATAAATTTACTCTAAATTACACCTTTCAACTCCACTGTTGTTGCTCTTTTTTCATATTTTTATTATGTAATCCATTTATTTCATTTCTTAGTTTTATTTTGATAAAGGTCGATGTAAACCAGTTGGTTAATTTAATGTTGAATTTACACGATATTGACATTAACTAACATTAAAATAATTTTTTTTTTAAGAAAATTGCCATTTAAAATATAATTATAATTTATTTAATAATTTATATAACTTTTTAATAAATTTTTATAATTTTTATTTTAAATATAAAATAATAATTTTATAAAATAAAAAAATTTATGCTTAAAAAATCCTCAAAAACTTTTGAATAATAATAATAAAAACCTTTGAAAAAATTTTTATTATGTAGCTATATATAGCCAATTTATATATATGGTTATATATAGCCTAATCTAGTCATTTATAAAAATAAAAAAAAATAATTTATTGATTTTTTATGTTTCATAATGTTGTACTTTAATTTTTTAATTAAAGAATAAAAAAATTGGTTTAATAGTTAATTAAATTAAAAATAATTGTCAGATAAGTTCCTTAGAATAGACAGAAAAGAAATTTTTATTTTCAAACTAAATTTTTCAAAGTTAAATATTCACTAGCGAGATAATTTAGCGATCATGCGCCACCTGTTGAAAATTTTCGGAACTAATTTTAATAAAAAATTATAAATGGGCATATTAAATTATATCAAGCTATATAAAGCCTAATATAGCTATATTTAGAAATTTCAGGCTTTTTTATGAGAAGAACAATAATAATAATAAAAATTTGTCCTTATCCTGATTAAAAATTTTTGAACTTTTTTTATCATTGCATTTTTTAATAATTTAAGACGTCTATAATTAAATAATTAATTAATTTAATTAAAAAGAACTAGTTTTTATTTTTTTCTTTTGAAAGTAATATCTTTAATTGTAAATAATATTTTTGAATATCAAAATTGCAGGGTACAATTTTAATAAATAATTAGCGAATAAAATAAAAAATCAAAATAGTATCTAGATCAAATAATTTAATTAACCAAATCACGTCTACCAGCATAAAACAAACCAGCATGTAACCCTAAAATTTATTTGCGACTTATTTTAAATCGACATTGCCAAAACTTGTTAACTAAATTTATAAAATACCCGCGACAAATATTTAATTAGCCATCCACGCAGTATAAAAGCGCGAATTTAAGTATCTCACGCATTAAAAGTATCAGCGACAGAATTCTGGTAAGTAACAAACTTATTTATTTAGCCTTCTTATAATAATATTATTTGTATGAATGAAATTTGTTGTCTCACACAATATTTATCACTTACGAGTTTACCCAACTTAGAAACAATAGTTTAATATTCAGTCACACTAAGACCGAGTCTAAAACAAATACTTAACAATTTTTTTATTTTTAATACACTTGAAAAAAAAAGAATTATCTAATAAAACAAGTATATAAATCTTCCCTCAGATTTTTATTATTTAGTATTTCTCAATCTTTGCTGCACTGAAGTTCTTACTCTCGTTATAATTTTTTTTCTGCTCCTATTTTCAAATTTAAAAAACTATTTTAATGAGTTTATAATCTGACCGTGTGAAAAAATTTTTTATTTTAGACAAAGGCGAAATCGAAATTTTATAAAATGTTGAAACAAAAAATTAACAAAATTTTTATTGGTGAGTTTTTATTTTATTAAAAAATTTTATTTAATTATTTTTTTTACTAATGCATTAAAATTTATTGTTAAAGTGATTTGTGTGACTGGAATGGTGCTTTCAATAAACTGGACCACCGTCGAAGCGGACGAAGTACCAGCGTTTTTTCTTAAAATAGCAAAAAACATACCGCGAGTTGGACGAAGCGGCAGGATCGACGAGTATTTATTGACCAAGCAATCTAAAAATTATCCCCGAGCTAATAAAGTTGGTGAATACTCTCCGGTAGTTAAACAAATAATTTTTTATCATTATTAATTTTTTTTTTATTTTAAAAATTACTTACAAGTTATTTTAACTAGATTATTTTGAATTATTGAAATTATCCTTTCAGTCTAATGAGTATTTGTCTTTAACGGGGGGGAATGATCCAGAAATACATAAGCGGATGGTGAATTATCCTGCTCCAGGAAGTAAATAATATTTATTTATTTAAAATTTTAATTATAATTATTATTGCCACTTATTTATTATAAGTCTTTGCTAGATATTGATTCAATATCGTGGGAGCATTTTCCGCTGGCTATTGAAGGACCTCCCGAGCTTTGGCGTACTCTCGCGTCTTATGCAAACGATAAATACGGAACGGCTTCCGATGAGTAAGTGCTTAATTTTTTTGTAATTCATTTTTTTTATTGATATTTTTCTTTTTTTTTAGTATCGAAAACGAAATTTGGCAGAGAAACAAACGCAAGAATGTTGAAAATTAATTCGATATACAGGAATATTTTAAAGAGCTTTTATAATGATGAATTATTTAAAATTTTGTGTACTGGTGATGGGAAATAATTGTAATAAAAATTTATTGTTTTAAAAAAATTGTTGTATTATTTTTAAGAAAAAAAAATCTTTTAAAAAAAAAGCCTGTATTAACATTTAATGACTTAATTATTAACATTTTCGGAAATATAAGTTTATTTTGATGTTATACTCATCAAGAGCTTTCATTTGAGTACCCACATGAATTTTTTCATATATTTTATATATTTGATATTTATTAAATATATGAAATATATAAAATTTATGAAAAGTGCATGTGGGTACTCAAATGAAAGGTCTTGATGAGTGTAACATCGGAATGAGCTTATATCGTTAAAAAAATCAATTGTAATTAAATGTCCTATAAAAAAGATCTCTTATAATATTCTTATTATTTTAAATATTTAAAAATATTTTCTTATAAATTAATTAATTAATTAAACCCAATTTTTCATATAAGTTTTTTTTATTTTAAAATAATTTTACATCGAATAAATATTTATAAATAAATTCTAATTTCTACATTTATAAATTTCATTTAAACGAATATTTAGTGTAATTAAAAAAAATTGAGAAAGCAAGGTGAGTGTTGTTATCGAGTATAGAGGAGCTTTGCAGGCAAAATAATCATCAGTTGCGATTAAAGTATCGTCAGAAGATCAAAAAGGTAAATTAGTTGATAAGCGATCTTCAGTTCGAGTCCTGGGGCATTAACCATGCGTTGCAAGTTTCACTGGCGATTTCACACATGTTTCCAAGTGCTCTGCTCAAAGCTTCATAGTCTAAAAACAAATAAAGTAGCAATTTATTAATTAATATTATTATTTTCTTTTAATAAGAAATTGAGGAATTAATTGTGAGTTAAAAGAAATATTGATGAATCTTTTTACCAGCAGCTGAGTTGGAACGTTTACCGAAGATGCTTCCATTGAAGGGTGGCTTTTTGTAGGCACCTTCTACGGTGACTGTTGCGATCAGTGCAATGACTGCGAGGACAATGATAACTCTGAGTGACATTATGATTGTTTGTTGGTTTTTTTTTTGTCTAAAAAATAATTTTTTAATTAATAAACATTTTTTAATATTGTTAAATTAAATTTTTAAAAAATAAAAAAATTATTAAACTAAATAAAATAAATTTTTATAAAATTATTAATCATCTCATTTCTAGATACATAATTAAGAAATGGCCTTGTATCTTGTGAAATATTGACATTTTTAAAGATATAAGCTCAT